AACATTGATTCCACCCAATACTATACATCGGCCGTATCCAAATTTCAAATAGATATCAGGAAATATAATGCCTTGACTGCGGTACGTTCGCCAAATTAATGAGATCTGCCCGATAAGACAGCTTTTCCATACTGACTCACAAACCGGTGCAAATGTTCGTTACAAAATAATTTATATATATATTGCTGTACTCGCCCCCATGGTGCATCGACACTTTCATCTAAGTAACAAAACGTAGATGTCATGTAAAACAACCATAAACCTCAAAAAGTTACTAACGGCATATCGTAAAACAAATGATTTCTCCTTCTTGGCACAACAACCAAAAGCAAACCAAAGCTCTACAATTGGCATGTCATAACAAAGAGATTGAAGTTGAACAAAGTGTCCCCTGTGGTCAGCATGAAAGCCGCGATCTAGTCAAGATTTTAAAGGGTAGGAATGCCAAACGGAACCCAGACACAATCTCACTGGTTACGGTAGATAACCACATAATAACTGATCCGATCCACACCAGTGAAATCCTTTGTTAGTACTTCTGCGCCTCCTTTAACGTGGATAATGACCCTCCAAGATTGGATATACCACCATCAAGGCTTGATCAACTCACGCGTGTCCAGTTTGAACTCCGTGACATACAAAAGCTTGTAAACTACACAAAACTATCCTATTTCGGCGGACCAGATAATGTACCTCTTGCACTTATCAAACCCGCTGGTGTCGATATACCCTGGCTTCTATTGAATATGTTCACTATATTCATGAACTCTGGCGCACTGTACCAACACAGTGCAAAGAAGCCATTGTCATACCGCGACACAAATCAGGCTCCATGTTCGAAAGAAAGAACTATCGTCCAATAAACCATACATCAATCTCATCCAAATTGATGGAGCGATGCATAAAAATTGCAACGGTCGACTTCCTACTATCTCCTAAATGAAGAAATAACTCTCAACACGGTTTTCTGAATGCACGTTCGTGCATAACGTGCCAACTTGAATGGCTACGTAATTTAACTGCCTCATAGGATAACGGCAATTCAGTAATCGTTATCTGCCTTGATCTGCACGAAGCTTTCGATCGAGTGCCACATAGAAAACTAATATGCAAAATGATGTTTTATGGAATCGGGGAACCTCTGCTTTCGTGGTTCAAATCGTATCTTACAAATCGAACGCAGGTGGTACAGATTCGGGAATAAAAATCTGAACCAACAGCAGTCACAAGTGGTGTAGTACAGGGTCCCATACTGTTTTTGGTGTATGTTAAGAATATATCTGACACTGTGAAATTCGGAACACCATAACTTGTTGCCGATGTTATCAAAAGCAACTACAGTTTTCACCCCGCTAACATAAACGAAACTACCAATATGATCCAGTTCGACGTCCATACGCTCGGAACCTGGTGCTCAAAGTGCGGGATGTTATTTACGACAGATAAATGTCACGCTATGTTATACAAACGCGACATAACATCTAGCAGTTTAACCATTTGTGATAAGCAAATTAATATATGCCATACGGTTCGTGTGCTGGGACTGAGATACTCATACCCGCTCAACTTCTCCGAGCAATTAGCCTACGTCACTGCAAAGTCCAGACAAAGCGTTGGAATGTTAGTTAAAACTTCCACAGTAAAAGAATCCATACTCTGCGCTTATTCATCACTTTCATGTCCTCTTTTGTAGTACTGCTCGAGGTTGTACAGTATCGTAAACAAACGAAACCGCATTGTACTAGAAGATGTATAAGGAAGATTCACAAAGCGCCTATTAGGAAGTTCATCGAAATTAGAATATTCTGAGTGAGGTGAAAAACGCAAGCTTGATCCCATCTGGTTGTGGCGAATGAAGCACAACCTTATCATATGCTCTGAGATCCTGCACAAGAAGATTCTTGTTTCCAATCATAATATGGCAATAATACAACCGCCATCATACAACCCAAGAAATAAGGAACATTCGGTAGTGGAATGCAGATCGAAGACCACCAGATCCGCTAACTTCTTCCTTAACAGATATGCACAAATCTGGAACAAATTGCCAACCGATATCCGTGCTAGCAATTCAGAGCAGGAATTTCAAGAAAAGGACCAGCAAACACTTGACTGTGCGCAATGTGATCCATCTACTGGGATGTCACATAACGAACAGCCAAGCATACGAACAAGGTCCAGGATTTATATGATCCAGAAACCAGACTACAACAGAGAGCAATTATTGTGATGGTAAGGCCCCTATACTCACCGGCTTCATCTTTCTTCCTCCTTCTTACCTATGCCAGCGACAAAGTTGTCACCGACAAGTGTGTTATGGGGGAGGAAGTCATTCAAACACACCTCCACATTCGAAGTCTTCATTGTCGATTTTCTTACTGGTTTTTATTAAAGTTTACTCTTATTTTTAGATATTATAGGTACCCATCTTGCTCCGGTTTCATGTGAGTGTCATTAGCAGAATTCAATACTACTAAATAACCATGAAGAAAACGGCCACCAAATATGCTAAAATAAAAGTGACACCTACTTTATGCATTTCCGTATTAATATTCTCAAAAGATCTACCAAACCCGACATTGATATCCTGTACAACATCACGTAACACATTGAAACAACAGGCAACTTTAAGACCCTATCAAAATTGAAAAACGATTGTCATTATTGTAGTACATTTTTCGAGCATTCGTGGTCATTGCACTGGAAATGCTTTTTTGTACCTGAACATGCCGTCACAGGCGTATCTGGACAAAAACGAGAATATAAAATTTATTTACCGTGGTACTTAAGCATTAGCGAGAGCCTATCAGTAAATCTCATTTAAAAACTTTTCTTTCTTTGCCAAATGTGTTTGAGCTTTTTGATTTCCAGCAACCCACGAGCGCACTCATGGAATCCGGCCCGAAAAACATATGACAATATTAACTATCAAATAATGTTACTTAGTATATACTCAAGGAAACATTGCATAACTGTTCCATACTGAGTATAGTTCACAAATGAAATGATGACACTCGCAGTACAAAGTATCGCCCCACAAAAGGGAATGTATCCTGCTCGTCGGGAAATATACCAATTTATTTATTTAAGTTCGTCGGCCCCAAAATACCGTTGTTTATGGAAACACATGAGACGGTCCACGGATCAAACGTATCATCGTGTTTGCTGATTAGCTTCTGTTGAACAGACCGGCTGAGCCAGTTGAGACACCGGCAACGGATGGGCATCGTTCCGTAAAGCTACCGAGTAGCAACTAGGCAGCAATAAAGAAAATATTTAGTATGCAGAAGTATGTTATGCTAAGAAATGAGATCTTGGTTAGTGGGGGAGTCTAAGAGGGATGGGGAAGGAAATAGAGACTCACAGCACGAACGCCAATGAAGTCGACTCTTCGCATGTCAGCTATTGTATCCAGCCAAAGGTGTTCATCGTCTTTTGGACCCCAACCAGGGAGCCCAGACCCTCCAACTGAGGCCAGCTTCGAAGCGAGCGTCTGCTTTCCTCTCGACCAAGTCATCGCTTTGCCACCTCTCGTTTCCTTCCATCCACACCCCCAGCGAGTAAACAACGCATGTCGCGGGAGCCGGTGCGCTGGCATGCGTAACACGTGGCCGAGCCATCGGAGCCTGGTGCGTGAAATGACGGTACTGAGCGGTTAAGTTCCTTTTCCTGTGCTGTAAACAAGGCGTCGGAAACACTCGTTGCTCACGCGGTGTTCCAACCAGATATGAGCCAAACTGCGAAGGCATGGGTGGTCCAACGTAACTAGCCTCTCTAAGTCTGCCGATCCAATGGGCTGTTTCAAGGATTAAAGGAGAGTTGAAGAGACGACTGCATTGTACACTCTAGCCTTCAGGACGAGAGTGATGTCGCGCCGGCGCCATACGTTGCGTAGGTTAGTAAAATCGCCTCGACGTTTTGCTATAGGGTTTGTGATCTCGTCATGGATCCCAAGGGCGCACATAAAAATTCCCAGGTAGTTTAATTTTTGAACGACTTCCAGCTGATCCCCACTAAGGGTCAACGCAGAACGCGGTCCCTAACAATCTTCAAGGAAAGATTCGCACTTCGAGAGTGCAAAGCCAAGACCGAAATGGCTGACAGCCAGTGCTAATCTGTCCAGTGCAGCTTGGCACGTCTGGGAGCTGTCACAGATGAGGGCAATATCGTCTGCATACTTCAAGTCAGGAAGTAGTCCACCAGGAAGTAGCTTCACACTTCTTAAGTCGTGTCCTGTAAATGTAATCTCCATGACGTCGTCAATAGAGAAAGGTGACAGCGGACATCCTTGTCTCACATCGCTGGAGATACTGAAGGGCGGTGACAGCTTGCCGTAAGCTGTCACTCTGTCCGTGCTACACGCGTATAGTGTGCGGATAAAATTTATATATTTCTCGGGCACACCATTCCTGAGTAGACAATGCAAAGGGCACATCGATCAATCGAATCGAAGGCACCTTTGATGTCGAGGAACACGACAACGGTGGGCCGCCAATATGTGTGACGGTGCTCCAATAACTGACGCAAGGTGAAAATGTGGTCGATGCAGTCACGACCCCGACGAAACCCGGCTTGCTCCGCACAAATGTGGCTTTCACGACTGCCAATCAGTATGTGATGGATTACAGAGGCAAGTAATTTGGAGGCGATGAGGATCAGACTGATTCCTCTATGGTTGCCGCATTCCGAACCCGAGCCTCTTTTGAAGATGGGAACAATAACAGAGCGGCTCCAGTCGGTTGGGACAGTTTCCTGTTCCCACAGTTTCACTAGTAATTCGTGTAAATCATCAATAAGAACAGGGCCCCCAAATGTGAGGGGTGCTGTCGTGACAGATTCTACACAGGGAAATTGCGATAACGTGCTTAAAGATTGCGCGGGGTATCACTGTAAGAGGCCCCCGTAATTTGCACGTCAACCCGCGTCAGTGCTGTAAAAAATGATAAGGAATCAATAAAATTACATGTGGACAGTTTGGGTTACAGTTATAAAGAGCTAACCTGAAGAACGTGTGCCGTCTTCTATAGCACGCATGAGTTGTGACAAAACCGGAAAGCTGTCACCAGTGGTGAAATTGGAGTCGGTGGTGTTAGTTGAAGGATTGGCCAGCCTGCAAACACGATTGTGACCCAAGACATCGGGAGAGCCCAGGTACTTTAACCATTTAGGACAAACAAGGGACAGTCTACAACGATATCGATCAGCAGCAGCTGCTACGGGAGCCAATAATTCCACTGCTTGCTCCCATGAAGGACGCGGAATCAAAGCCCATCCATCGCCAGGAATCTTCGAGGGACGCGGTGAAGGGGCGACTGCAGAAGAATTGCACCAATAGTAAGAGAGTTCCAGTGAGCGCAGCTGGAGAAGAGAATGTAAAAAGATAGACAAACTAATGGACAGATGCGGAAATTCATATCTTCGTGAAATAAGGAGTAAAGGGACAAATGTAGTGATCAAAAGCATGGGTTTAGGAACACCGTTGCTCGGGAAGTTATTCAACAGTGAATCTCGCTGTGATGCCATGCACTAGAGTCAAACCAATATGATTCGTCGCTGTGACTGGATCAACAGTTGTCAACCAAACAGGGGAATGGCACAGACAGGATGTGTTCACCGCAGGAATCCCTCCGCTGTTGAGATCATTTGGCCAATGGGGAATGAGCAACAGCCGCCATGAGAAAATGCGTATGCTGGTCGTGTGTGTGTGGCTGGGAGGAGTCTCGTTACAAAAGTGAATCTAAACCCCATCTTGTACTATTACCTTAAAAAATCACTAGCTAGTCCAGCTACCGTATAATACAACCAAAAAAGGGCGATTCGGCAAGGGAATTCGCGGGTCATGGAGTCAACCCTGTCCTCTGTGCGTTGGAAACGCATAAATTTATTATTTTTTCTCCTTACCTGGCTATACCAACCTCAAGGCCCCCATATTAATATGGTGACTAAAGAGCAGCGTTAAGCCGAGTTCTCCTCTTCATTCATCTTTACTCGGCCACACCGACCTCGAGGCTTTTATGCCTCCAGGAAAGTCAACGATGGAAGGTAGACCCCGAGTCTTTGTTTTCACTTCTTGGACCCCTGTAATATCCTCTCGTTAACCGGCCAGACCTATTTCAAGGCCTCTATGACCACGTAGAAGCCAGTGAAGAAGTCCGACGGAGTACTCATTCTCTTCTACCCGACGACTGTAACACTGTTCCTTTGCAAAGAGCGATGATTTCTATTGCTCTGTCAGAGATACGCATGTGCGCGCATCAAGGTCGCATTAAAGGTAAATGTATTACGTAATTAGTTTCGCGCCTCCTTAAACCAGTGTTCGAGTACCGCCTCCGCTACATAACCGCTACATATTGGCAGAGCTATTGGCGATATATAGGAATACAAGCCTGACATTCTAATGAATGACCCTCTCGAACATTATATACTTAGCCAACGTGCATGTCTCCCTTACCTATGTTTACTCATTGTATGCTGCTGAACACATCATTATTAATCTTTATCATATTTTCCGCACAATATTTTAGATTGGTTAAAACTGCAGTCTTTTCTGCCTGCAAATCTTTTAACCTGTTAAACATTCTATTTTTCCAACATGTCCCTTCCCCCAAGACTCCTCTAAATATTGCGGAGAAATATTCCAATATGCCTGGCTGCTCGGCGTCTTGATTGTGTACTTCTACCTGACAAAACGGTCTAGCTCAAGTCGTTCCCGACTGCACTGCTATGACAGCCTACACCGCGTGCCGAGTATATGCGCAAGCATATGACGGAGACAAAAAATGCTACATCGCAAATGTCTTCGCGAACCACCAATCAACATGTGATTGACATTGTACTTCTTAAGGGTCTGACTGACCATGTAAAATGACGCGTTCTCCAAGCGTTCATTTTTTCATTTATCTGAATCAGCAACAAATTTGCGAAAACCTTGTACAATTTGATCGGACCAACATACTGGGCCGTGTCTCGCACAGTTGAGAAATAAACAAATTTAGTTATTTATGAAATCGAATGATGGGCGTACCCACTGTAACATAGCTAGTAACTGTGGAACAGTAGCTTTCGTTAATCTCCTGTAGCTCATTGATCTTAACCACGATCGCGGGTTCCAGCCCCACAGCCGACAGATGAAACGTGCATTGTTGACGATTTTCAAAAGGATGAAATGGTCGTATAGCACCTTTCCGGATGTACATTAGCTTCGTAACTGTGTGGTTTTGATAAGTACTGTTCAAGAAAAAATTAGCACACCAAACTAGTGGCAATAAACAATCGCACATCAGACCTTTCTCTCGGGCCAACTTTGTGATCCAGCGAACCAAATTAATCAAAGGTTGTGAGCGAACAACGGCGAGATCAGCGGTGTGAAGAAAAATGTAGAGAGAAGTGTAGTATTGAGCAGATGGCTAAAGTAAGACAGCATGTTAGTCGAGAATTACTCATGAGATAACGCACGTAGAGATCAGTTCCGTTGTACTGATTCACCCAATGGAATACGACTGCATTGACTGTCAAATCGGGTTATCGATTGGTAGTAAACAACAGAAGCGCGCTATCTGAGTTTTACATCGAAATATAGCCAAAACGAACGCATGCGGTGTCCTGCGTTCAAATCAAAGGTTTCATTGACTGTGGTGTACGATACTGAACAGAAGGTCTGACGAAATTAAAGTAGCTTTTCACAATAACACGCCTGGATATGTTCTGTAACAAGAAAGTGTAGGGCACTGGGGGGACATTAACAGCTATTCAGGCAGATCATCCTGTGGGGAAATTATGCAACCAAAATCTAGCGATATCATCACCGAAATCGTTACCTTACCAGTCACTTAAGGAACAAAGGCGAATTGAAATGGGCCCGATACTGGCGAAACTGAGGAAACGGGATTGTTGCAACTGGTATAAACGGTTAATTACGGGTGATGAGAATTAAAAATGGTACAATGCGGTAGTAGCAATGGAATTTGTTAAGTCATTATATATGTATGTATAATTTTTCGGGCAGAAGCTACGCATAGATAAGAACTTTACCCCTTATGTCTACGCAAAGATAGCAAGTTGAATCCGCGATGGTGATCAGAAAAGAAAGCTAGGATGGGGGTTATTAACATCTGGACACCTCTTCATTGGGAGACGCACCAAAAATAGTTCCGGTTCATTGGATTTCATCACAGATAAATGGGGACCGATAAGGAATAGGACAGGAGAACGGGAGATAGCCGAATGCAGGAGAGTGGACCGTCGGTGATTTGGAGAGCCAAGTTCGGTCGGATGAATACAGACGGGTGCGGAGGGTTTCAGGTGTTTCAAAGCAACCCTAAGGTCTTCGATGAAACGTTCAGCCTTCATTTGCGTGAAGGGAATGTGATGAACCATTGTCTAAATAGGCAGAAGACAGTCAAAACAAGAATCGCTATGAAGCTACTGTAAAGAAAGAATTGCATAATCCGATACATAAACGGTTCGGATCATAAATGAAGTGCACAAGAAGCCAAGGGCATTTGCAGTCAAACAGCTCGTTTCGAAATTGAAATGAGTATGGTTGTGGACTGTGATCGTCCGTAACAATCAGATAGCGCGATAGAGTATGTAGATTCAAGTAAGCTAAAAATGCAGCCGAATGCAATACGGTCAAGATCCATCACTACCAGTCTGTATCGTTATTTAGCGAGAATCCTCACGCATAGGGCAGAATTCAATGAATTACGAGAATTAATAAATGGCACGAAAACACTAAATCAACCTCACACTAGGGTCAGTTGGTTAAAGAAGCAGCAAATAGAAAAAGGGTAGTGAATAAGTTCAATCCATATGGAAAAAGCATGGATAAATTATTCCATTGATCGAGTAAAAGCTTCGCCTGGGAATTGGGTACTGACATTTAGCGTGTCTGTAAATCCCTGAAACGACGTTTGACAAGGAGTCTTCGGATCGACTGTGAACGTTGGTGAGTCGCAAGAGCCCGTGAGATGGAGAAAGCCGATGCCGTTGGAAACAGCCGAGTACTATTCCAGATCATCCGGAACACGGGTCCGACAAGCCATCAGTTAGTGAGACAGCTGAGAAAGATTAACAGTTGATCCATTCTCAGCTATGTCGACAAGATCGTTGGGTGGAACATCTTGAAGAACAGTTTAGCAGGCCAGTTGCAACACTGCCACTTATCGAATCAGCTGAGCTCAAGTGGGACGCTGATGTCACACATCCCACTCTAGAAAAGATTCGACATCAGTTTACCGTGTTGAAACGAAGCAAGATTTTGCACCAGACGACTTTCCTATGTCGCTGCTGAAAGATGAAAGTGACTCTTTGTTGACTGGATTTGCTGCTCTATCCAACAAGTGTTAGGACATTGAAGAGATGTCTCCATACTGGTAAGTGGCAACTGTCGTGCCGGTATTGAAAGGGTTTGACGGATTGTGTGCAAAATTAATCGCGACATAAGAGCCATTCCCATTTCCTCCAAACTCCACACTAATCTCATTACTTGACGACCTACTGGCATTCGCGAGATCGGAATCATTGAAATCCACGCTGGCTTCCGTCCTGGTCGTGGTTGCATCGACCACATATTTACTCCTCGTCAAATGTTAGAGCAGGGACACATCCACAGACGACCAACAACGTCAATGTTTCTTCGACCTGAAAGCCGATTCCAAATCTGCTGATGGTGCCAACTTGTGGCATTGCCGATTTATGGACATCGTCGCAAAATAACTCCTTCCATTCTGAAGTCGCCCCAACACGACTTCCAAGGTTAGATAAGGGTCAACGCAAAACTGTCTTATGAGTTCCTCAAGACAACTAAGGTCTGCCAAGACTGCCACATAACTACTAGTATATTCACATCTGTCATGAAAATGATCATAAATGAATAGGTTCTTTAAGGATCTTCCGGAGTTGAATATCAGCCAGAGACAAAGTGACAAACCTTGAGTTTGCGGACGACATAGCGCTGCTAGATAAACTGGTAGACTAGTTGTCAGCCGTTTCTGACTATGCTTTGCACCCCCCAAACACACAGTCTGCCAAGATGGGAAGGGAGCCATCTTTGCGTTGACACTTGGTGGTGATCAGTTAAAGTGCGTTCAGAAATTCAACTATGGAATAAAAGATAAGCTCACGAATCGTATAGAAAAAACTAGACGCGCTTTTGCTGATCTTAGCTACCTGTGGTGTAGGTGCGACATCACTCTCGCCCTGAAGGGCGGAGTATACAACGCAGCAATGTTCCACCCTCGTGTACGGTTGTGAAAGCAGGCCCACCAGATGGACATGAAGATGCCAGTTACATCCGATCATCGCTGCCTTCACAGCCTGGCTCATGTATGGGGGGAACACCACGTGGGCAATGAGCGTGATAGGCGCCTTGTATTTGGTGTAGGAAGAGTGTGTGAGCCGCTCAGTACCGTTATTCCAGGCACCAGATTCCGATGGCAAGGCCGCGTGCTGTGCATGACAACGTCGGCCGGTGGCCAAGTGGCCTGCGCGCTCTATTTGCAATCATAAGGTCCCCAAATTCTTGGAAGATACTTGGAACCGGTGGAGTAGTCATGAGTACAGAGAGGTTTGGAAACAATCGGTTGGTATAGTAATTGGGTAACGTTTCGCTCTTGACACAAGAGCTTCGTCAGACCAGGTGAATCAGTGTAATTGGGGTGGGATTTTATAGCGAACAGGGGCGATAAACGCATTACCCGAGACTTGAGCCATGAACGTCATTACAGCAACCGTTCGTGATATCACCTCAGGTGGTTTAATCACAATGGGAATAGTCCAGGTGTTCCATTGTGCGTCATGACATTGACGGATAAGCCCATGGTGTTGACAATGGGAGTCGGTTTGCACTTTCCAATCTGATCCACGCACCGATGCTCGTCAAGCTGGCCGACTTAAGACCGCCCGCCACGCATTAGGGAGTTCTACCCCCTCAATTCTATTCACGCAGTCGTCAGATTTGGCAATTTCCACCGCCTCGGCAATCAACCGCTGAGGTGTTGATCGTACGCCCCTCCTAATGACCTCTACGTTTTCGAGGTCTATCTGGTGACCCGTGTCTAATGCATGCACAGCTACGGCCGAGTCTCTTACTATTGCCTGGTATTCAAACTCGTTTCTTGGTGGTCTTGAAATGCGTCTCCTGTGCTCCGAAATTCGTGTGCGTAATTCTCTCGCTATTTGGCCTATGTACACATGTGCAGAGTCTTTATATTTAATTTTATAAACACAGTTAGTCGTCCTATCCTTGGGAAGGGAGTCCTTCAGGTGTACCGGCGCCGAAGGTAATGTTCGACCTCGCTGAAAAATCACCCTAATATTTTCCTTGTTTAGTACCCTCCGGGTTGCCTCCGAAGTGCCTTCCTTGTACGGAATTCCGACCGCCCCTATCCACTCGGCTGTGGGTCTTGACTGCCGGTGTAGCACTTTATGCAATTGATGTTGGACTAGGCGCCGTGGGTAACCGCTTTCTAATAGTTCGCTCATTGCCACTTTCCGCGCAGCCTTTTTGTCCTCATCCATCGTGCACAAAGTTTGTCCCCTGTAGAACAGCGTTGAGGCTATCCCAGCGTAAACCTGTTTCGGATGACCCGAAGTGTAGTGGAGTACGCCGTCAGTAGCCGTTGGCTTGCGATAGAGTGTCGTCTCTAAATTTTCCCATTTCTGTGAACCAGGCAGTCAAGAAATGGTATTGTACCGCTACAAGATTCCAACTCAATAGTAAACTATATTCTCTCATCAATGGAGTTTAAGTGGTTAAGCAATTCGTCCTTCTTATCCAGTTTAACAAGTACAAAGGTGTCGTCTACATAACGCCACCAAACTTTTGGTGAGTTAATGGTGTTTGTTAACGCCCTGTTCTCGAAGTCTTCCATATACAGGTTCGCCAGTACAGGGGATATTGGCGACCCCATGGCGAGACCTTGTTCCTGACTGCAAAGCTTCCACTGAAAAACGAAGTAAGACATGTTAAGACACACTGTGATACCCTCAATTAGCTGGTTAATTGTCAGTTTCATCCGATCATTCAGAGTGACGTCTTCATTTAGACAACGTCTTGCTATTCCTAGCGCCTCTTCTTTGGGTACATTTGTGAAAAGTGATGTGACATCGAAGCTGACCATTAATTCATCTGACTGAATTTTGAGACTTGCTATCTTTTGAGCGCACTCATAAGAGTTTTTCACGAATGTACTCGTTCGCCCTGTTAGAGTCTGCAATAGCCATGCCAAATATCTAGCAAGTTCATGGGTCAGGGAGCCTATACCATCGATTATGGGCAGTACGGGGACTTCAGGTTTGTGAACTTTTAGCAAGCCATAAACCCTCGGAGATAAAGTCGATTTTTGGTACAGACTGTACTACTTGCCTGCCCCTAAATCGTTCTTCACGGTTCTTAAATAGTTACCAACCTCCGTTTTACTCTTGTTCGTTACTGACGCCACGGTCTTATTAACAACTACTTTATATGGACCCGCCTCCAAATGTTGTCCCATTTTTTCCAAGTATTCTGACCTATTCATTACAACCAGGGTGTGTGAGGCGCATGACCGACTGACCAAGGGTTCAGCCAAACATGCAGTAGGGATAGCCACCAAATCGAAAAGAATCGAGTAGACCAACTACGGTCCGTGCGCCAAAGTGTCATGGGCTTAGTTACCCTGACGGTGAGAGCATTAAAATATTGCAAAAACCATGGGGGAAATGCTAAAAGTATGACACACGAATGCACAGTGTTAGTTTAGAGAATTGCATGAAAACATACCGTGGAAGCACAGCTCACATACAAGCGTATTTGTGTGGATGCGTTGGTCGACCGGAAGTGGGTAGCATTACCGGAAGCAGCGAAAATGATATCTTTTCCCAACGTTAAGCCAAATGTAGAGACGATATTTGTCATGAGAGAAGCGGAGTGGAATTGCACGAAGTCACGTAGGTGAAGGTTTTGATGGCCGAATTGCCCGAACACCACAACCTAATACAGTACAACAGTGTGAACGAATACAGACAGGTGAGACCATACCTTGTGTATCAGCTGCAATCTCGATAGCTCCGTACGAGAGTTGGCCAGGACAATGGGGTTTAGTACATGGGAAATGTGGGCAGCAATTTGAGGGGTTGAAAAAGTCCCCTCATAAGAAACAGCATTAAATCCTGGACGATGGAAAATCAAATGTGGAAAACGTTTCAATTTGAAAGACTTCGCGCAGGGGGAATTGGGCATCCAGCAGTCCACAGCCGATATCTAAGTGAATAAGTGTATTAGGAAAGAGTGGAAAAACGAGTCTACCTTGATGGGAGAGAAGGAATGGAGGTTAGTTATGACTTCGGTCCATTTAGTGGAATCAGCATCCCATTTAGCGTAAAAGTAAGACATAACGATTGTCTGATTGTCATGATCAAGGAGGAACCTGTCGTAAGATCCATCTGCATAATCTGAAACGCCGCTGAAGCTGTTGAACAGACCATCTCCGCTGTATACGCTTGAATTTGAATGGAAAGATCTATCGACTAGATTAAAATGTGACAAACGAACATTTACAGTGAGACATCCGACAGACTGGAAAAACAAAGTCCCACTGAGCATACGAACAAGATGATAGTATCCATGTGGTTTAAAATCTCCAGCAGGAGTGGCTTGACTGAGCAGAAGTAGACGTCCAGTTGGGATAACATCCATTGGTGGAAAATAACCATCCAAACGGACGAGTAGTAGGATGGCAGTTTCAACTACAGGCAGTGGAACAGAGCACTATTCTGAAGTAGGAAAAAAGAGTCATTAGGAGAGCGACTGGATCCAAGTACGTCGACAGTTCAGTGTAGAGAACGTAGCAAATGATGTAAAGTCGAAAACAACAACCAGTGCATTCGCCGGTAAGTTGCTCCAATTTCGTTGTCCAACCAGAGAGGGAAAACAGTACACGTATCCGGCGGCGCGTCACCATGGTGGAAAGACAACGATTGGAATTTTTTCAACAGAGAAGATATACTCAAAGGAGAGAAGTGGTGGAGTAAAGCAGCAGTGGACGCACCTGGTCTACAACCACTACATAGGGTTGATCCCGTTGTCAGTATTCAAGATGGTCATGATTTCGAACCGCTCTATTGTCACTAGTTGATTCAGTCCGCCTGGGGAAGCGCTTAGTATTATTCATCAGCAACGCATGAAAAGAAGCCAAACTAAAAAAGCGGATGGTAGTAGTTCCCTAGGCAACCAATAAACCTATAACGGCTGTTTCACTGAACAGTCGGCGTAAATCTACTCAGAGTGTGTTGCAAGATTTCAGAGGCAAGACAAACTCATATGATAATAAGAAATGACTCGGAAAACGTAATCCAGACTAAAAACAACGATCCGAGAAAGTGAAAAGACTGGCTTACTTTTAACGATCATATGTGAAGTACCAGAAATGATATTAAATCAGCACAATAACAAAGCAATAAGGTGTTCTTTCAAGATTCCACACATGCCAAAAAACATGTGATGTGTGAAGTCAAACCGTAAATTGCGATCATTTACTTAGACATCTATAGCTTCCATGCTAAATGAAGGAGAGGAGGATTTCTCTTCACTCTGTTACAGTCCCAAAGAGACTAAGGATTGCCGTGGTGCACTTTCATGAGGCGATTGAATCCGTACTTTCCCGTAAACTATTCGAGCCAAATGTACTTGTGTAGAAAGATCTCAGTATAGGAACCGACGACACTATCATGTCCTTAGGCAAAAGGTAGTGTAATGAACAGTGACAGTCAGTTGAGCAGAACTGAGTATACAGGTTAGTGTTCGCTACAAAGGCATATAGCCTGTGAGTTGTGTTTGAGCGAGCAGATAGTGAGAAATGCATAATACAGGTATCATCTATCGAAGCAGAAGACACTAACTACGTCAGTTCGGCTCTCGCGCGAGCCAGTAAATTGCTGAAGAGGGATTCTCGTGAGATCAAGAAAGGTCAGAATATGCCCTATACAAACACATCGTTTTGGTTTCAGTAATTAATCGCTACGGACATAAAACATGACATCAGTGAAAGAAGTACAAATTGACAAGGCAAACGAAGAGTAAATCTTTAAACAAGCACACGGTCAAGTAACTTGTGAAGCACTCCTAGTTGATCTACTAGTAAACGTGACAGATACGGAAAAATGGAATCACGGTACGGCCAGGTACGAGAAGACAATTTGTAGTCTCGACTGCGGAGAAGAAACAAATACAGCATGTAGCCGGTGAGAATTCTTAGAAATCCTGGATGGGAATTTGATACACATTTACGAAAGTGTTTAGATAGGCTAAAATAAACCAGGGACTCTTTCCTGGGTTTAGAGTAAGGTGAAAATTTTGAAGAGTGCACAAACAGAATACAATACTCCTGAAAAAGCCCGAGAGAAACAACGATCGAACAGCATAAGCAGTGAGCGACAGAAAACGTGAAATCACAGACCTTGGAATTAGGGCACAGAGTATGGAGAGCATTTAGAACCTAAAGAGTGCAAAAGGATCGCCTACTGAGTACTAAAAAATTTTCGAGAATACATGCGAATCGGCAGAAATTGAGACAAAAACCGAGATGCTTCACGGCAGATGAGCGAGGTATGTGTTGGTCGCTAACGAACAAAGCAGAGGAGGTACTTGCAAGAGAAGGCAGTTTACCGAAAGTGAGAAAAAAGAATGTTGCATCACAACACTGTAAGACCTTATACTATAGGACGAAATTATCAGCATATCTACATCCAATGAAACTGGATGGTAGATGTGGCGCTGACTGGCCGATGAGGTGAGTGGGTTTTAGTGGCACCAAGCTAACATCGAGTGGGTGCATTAATGACCCCGACCAGATTTCGACCGCGAGCGTCGATAACATGAAGGTGACGTCGCTCGGTAAGATTGTGGCTAATAACACGCAGCGATAGAACGTAGATTCACACTTATGTACAGCGCAAAAGAGTACTTCGCACATGTATAGAAGACTTCGATCACAGGCCAGAGATTGTTTTTTATTATTAGAGGATTGTTCGACAGTATAGGAAGCCTCTCAAAGTAAAGGGAAGCTATAACGGGGGACAAGATGGGTCTCTGCAAAATACTAGTCAGTTGGGAGTACGGAGAACCTTTGACCGCATAACTGTGTAATGTACAATTTGTGAAATAGCCAAACATTAGATTATATCTATCTATGGGTACGTCATATTCGAATAGGAAGTCGAGAAATACCTCCATCGAGGCCTGCAAAGGCGCTGGTATAAGCGAGAAACGGAGACTTTAGGGTCTTGTATTTTCCATTCAATGCAGATACAATGAAGTGTACAAGATATGAAACGTCATCCAGTGTAGAGCAACATGGTTTACAGGATGTTATGACAACGCTAAAGCTGAGGTTCTGGTGGAAATACTTTTCTTGATTCCTTTAAGCCAGCGGATGCCTCAAATATCCCTCACTGTTCTGGTGCCCCGGGGTAGGAGGATAAGCAACCTCGAGTGCACTCTGCATGACGCAGTAAAGACGATGTAACTTAATATTGAATTCGCATTTCTGTTTCAACAGTTCAATCGATGGTGAAATTCGGTGATAACTCGCCTTCGGGAGTAACGAATAATGCTAACCAGCAATCACCGTCTAAACTGGGAACTTCGCCGAGGGTAGGAGACCGAGCGACAGATAGACCTGCACGAAAGCGTCAAATTTGAGACAAGTGTTCCAGATCAAACGATAGCCATACATTGAACACCACCTATGGTTGAAGACGATGTAAACAATCCGAGCCCAGGGCAGTATGTCATCCGGTGGTGATTATGTAACTCAATGTTAACACTCGTGTTTGGAACCTGTATTGCTGACTGAGAGGTTGTAGTTAGCGAACACATGAAGAAACCGGTCACCATAACAAGTGCGACAAGCACCAGCCCAGAAAAACTCTCCGAAGCTGTTGCTAGATTCTGGTTGGCGACCTACTTGGGTATTCAGGTTCTCCGCAAGGATCACGATATCCGAACCCATCGAAATAAGACTGGGCTTTAAGGTGATGCGATGGTTTGAGTACCACCGTAACCCATTGAGCTACGCTAGGTGGGACACTTCAAGTGAGTTCAGTCACGCATGCCAGAGAGGTCAGCTGTTAGGGGTTATACTAACTGTTGCTGCATCGTCTTCAAAGGTGGGAAGAGGTCGATGACCATCTCCCTTTAGAACTTAGCCATAGGAGACAACAAGTGTCAGGTTATAGGCTCAGAGCTCGGTTGGCGTAGAGCGGGAGTGCGACGCACTGTATCTGCTGGTGGGAGAGTATCGCCCACTATACAATGGTTTGCTAGCTCCTGCCTTATGCCACGAAGTCCCTTGTCAAACGGTTTCAAACCTAGCAACTACCACCTGGGACTGACCGTGGTATTAGTCGAAAACATAAATTGTTCTAAATTTTCAAAGGCCACGTGTGACAAGCCGCAAACAAACCCAATGTGTTTATGCAATCAGACTCTTGAGCTGGACTTGCGCACCAATGTCGTGCCGGTCAGGCTATTAAGCCAAAGTTTCCGGGTGGGATACCTCAAGATCATCATCAACAAAAGCAGTACATCATCCATTTGAACTGATGCTTCGCTGCCATACAACCATGATGACCTATGGAATAAAGAATAATAAGAGGGAGAGAAGGAGGATTTACCTAAAAACCTTAATGTCCTAAGCGAACTATCCGGGAAAAGGTAAAAACATAAAGGAAAACCATTATTTTAGCAATTAATCGATTAGCTTCGATCGTGCATTGATTTCGAAGATTCCTTCACGTGATCGTCAGCATACGGAGTTTTGGCAGGGAGGCTACTAATTTTACCAGTTGACCTTCGTTTTCTAGAAGCCGAAGGTCATTGAGCCCCCTATATATTTGGCGTAGGTCTGGTGTAGCGGTACAACGTGCTGGCGGCATTTTCGGCTACGTTGGCAGCGTTTATGTTAACACGTTTTTCGTGGTCAAGGTCGTTGGAATTTGGAGTTTTCTTCGGTTGGGTTAGAATTTCTGCGGAGAAATGTTTGGGTGCTTCATTCGTAATAGTGAGAAAAAGTGAAGACCTACCAATGGCGACGGACAAGGATGAAAATGTTACAAATTTTTCTGCCGAACATTTTCAAAAGCTGCTCCTCCAGCAACAATCCCAGATGGGAGCGCAAAGGAAACTGATTGAAAGTTTAATGCAGTGCTTGAATGTACAATCAAAAGGAGCAGCTACACCAGACACGCAGACTGTTTCATTTGATCTTACGAATTCAATCACTGAATTTCATTATGATGCTGATTCCAAATGCATTTTCGAGGCGTGGTTCGAACGCTGGAAGGATATGTTCCGGACGGATTTCAGCCGTCAAGATGATTCATGGATAGTGCGTCCTTTGCTACGCAAGCTCGGTACTAATGAATATGCAAGATTCGTTGACCACATTCTGCCCAAAGAGCAGAAAGACATCACTTTCAACGAGGCAGTGGCAACACTCAAAGAAATTTTTGGTGAGTCGACATCTCTGTTTAGCATTCGCTATCTTTGTTCGTCGCAATCAGCCGACAATTCAGATATGTCGACCAGCTGTCCGGAAAGCACCAGACGGCCGTTTCGCCCTATTGGGGCTCATCAGTGGTGCGCATCCTTCGGTCCTCTGCGGAGCATCGAACCCATGACTGCTAGTGGCTCTTGCCAACTAGCCCGCAGCTTATGCAACTGCGCCATGGAGGACGGTATCTGACTATCGTGAATTGTTAGCTAAATGCGATATAGCCC